CATAGCGAAGGGAAAATGAGCTTTGGCACACTCAAGACACTAAAAAAGTATCTCAAGCTTTGAGCAAGTGGAGACGGTAAGTGTCTCAAGCTTGGAGCAAGTGAATACGGTAAATGGCAACCATGAGATCAAGATTTCGCGCTCGAAAATAATCAGGGCAATTGAAACGCATGGAAAGGAGAGATTGAGACTGTCGGGGATTAGGGAGTCCCGAATAAAAACGGGACGTCATTGGGAACAATGTCGGGGACTAACTGGGCCCGAATGAAAATAATTGAAATTTGGGACATCTGCCGACGGAACCGCCAGTCGGACAAAAAAAAAATGGAACTAGTATGGGATGAGTGGCGGGGATTTGAGTGTCCCAAAACGATGCCGGGGACTAACTGGGCCAAAATTAAAATAATTCAAATTTGGGACATCTGCCGGCGGAACCACCAGTCGGACAAAAAAAAATGGAACTAATATGGGATGAGTGGCGGGGACTTGAGTGTCCCAAGAGAAACCGCAGTCCCCGCATGGACGATGATCACCCGAAACAAGCGGCACCGTCAAGATCAAGATCTTGACGGTGGAAAATATTAGCAACCACTAGTGCAAGGATTGAGTGAGGCCAAGATAGAGGGAGTGAGGAGGCAAAAAGCGAGAAGGGGTGGTGATGGGAGGCGGCAAAGCCCCAAGGGGCTCTACGCAAAAAATAGGTTGTCAAGGAAAAATCGAAGCAAGGGGAGCCAAAAATTGAGACTAACAAAAACAAAATGTAGCCCCCATGAATGTGGGGGCTTCATTATTTTAATCCGAGAAATAATGGTCAGCTGTTGGGTCTAGATCTGGCTCTAGATCAAGATCCATGGCCTAGAAAGAGTCCACAGCTGCTTCACACTTGTCATAACACATAAAAAAAAAGAAAAAGAAAAAAGGAAAAAAAAGGGGAGAGAATGAGACAAAGGAGAAGAAAAGAGTGGAGGAGGATGTGTCGGTCAGTTGGGACTTGCACAGTAGGGACCAGCGGGTCCCTGCTGTGACCTCGTCACTCCGGATTTAGTGGTGAGCAATCCGGAGTGCAGAGATAAGGCCCTTGGGGCATTATCCCGACAATATTTGAATTAAAAAACCAAAATTGAGAGAAAAAGCAAAAAGAAGTTCACCGGTTTGTTTTCTAGGCTGTGGATCTAAGATCAGATCTCATGGAGGGGATATGAGCGTTTTTTGTGGGGCCAACTCAAACAGCCAACTCCGGAATGAGTTGGCAGCCCAAAATGGAAAAAAATCTACGTTACCAGTTGTCCGATGGGGAGACGTCTCCCCCGGACGTCTCCGGGAGACGATCAGCAGGGAGTTGTTCGAAAAATCAGACAACTGCTTTTTTGCCCAAAAAAAGAACGAAAAAAAAAAGATGGTGGGGGTCTGTGCACCACTAGGGGAATCCCCCAAAAACAATTCAGGCGGTTCTGAGCAAGAACCAAAAAAAAATTCAGATAAGGTGGGGGAGGTGTGATGGTGTGTGGATAGAATGCGTGTGGATGTGTGTGTGTGGATGCCAATGTCACTGCAGCTGCTGCATCTGCCGCAACGGATGTGTAGCAATTGTTGACTGCACACACACACACACACACACACACACATACACACACACACACACACACACACACACACACACACACACACACACACACACACACACACACACAC